GGGACCGTGAGTTCTATGGCGCCGCTACCAAACGGTTTCCACCCCCATACATGAACCAATGTGGGCCCGACGGGTGGCACCGACGATGTCGTCCCAGTGAGTGAGGATGCAGCCGCACGAATGGAGGAGCCCTTGGTACTCGACTAACCCGATTTCGCGATTCAACTTGCCTACAAGATCCTCAAATAGCTACGGGGAAGTGCATCGTGCCGTCCCATGGTAGTCCCGTGTGTCGTCTATGACGCTAACAATAAAGACTGGTGTCCGCCAGAGCATGGTGAGATTGTACCGCAGTGGCTCGAACTCGAAAGAACTGGCGGCGTTCTGATGACACAGAGTTCAGGGTGGCAGAAAAGCTGCCCTTCCTGTCACCATCACGAGTGTGGTGCTACTGTTACTCGTACTCATTGCAGCTTTTGTTTTCTGGCTTAGAATTCGTGAAAAACTGCACCAGAACGAGGATTTCTACATTTGTGCTGTTGATCTTAATGCACCTAAAAATGAATATTTTGAGTTACTTGACCAACCACCAATAATAATACCATAAACACCTAATGATGAAATTGCTAATAAATATAAAATACCTATATTTAATTCAGTAAAAAACATACCAAATCCTAAAGGTATAACAGTCCAACTTAATAAACTTAAAAAAAAAGCTAAAATTGGTGCAAATATAAATAAAATTACATCAGCATTACTTGGTAAAATAGTTTCTTTTACAAATAATTTAAGACCATCAGCTAACGGTTGTAATAATCCAAAAGTACCTACAACATTAGGTCCTCTTCTTCTTTGAATAGAAGCTAATACTTTACGTTCAACTAAAGTAAAATAAGCCACAGCAATTAATAAAGGTAATACTAAAATTAAAAATTTTAAAATTGTGTATATCATAATGATTTTGATTGATTTTTAATAATTTTTTTAGAATTAATTAATATTTTTGAATATTGTTCTAATATATTTGTATAATAATTATTTTTAATTAATGAATCTAAAAAATTAATATTAATTTTTAAATGTTTTTTATTAAAATTAAAATTATTTATAATTTTTAATTTTTTTTTTAATAAATAAGGTAAAATATCTGTAATTTTAAAAAATGAAGTTGATTTTGATTGATTTTTACTTATTAAAAACTTATAAATATTTCTATATATTATAGAATCTTTACGTTGTTCGGTATTTAAGTTTAAAATTTGATCATTTTTTTGAATTAAACCTTCTAAATTAATATACATTCCATTTTTTTCTAAAAAAGGGACCACACACACAGAAAACGGTACCACCACCACCTTAAAATATACGATCACCAAAATAGCATGATCACTGCCAAAGTAAATAGATAGTTTTACACGCTGTCGCTCATTTAAAATTACGTGGAGACAAACAAGATGGAGAGTGAGAACGATGATATTTTAGATGGAGCAGGTCAAGATCCATGCTAAACATGCACAACAAGCGTCCTTACTGGCGGAGGCTCAAACCGAACCGCTCATGTGGAGACCTGCGCTCTCGACTATGAAATGTGAAAAAGTTCTCGAGTGTTCACGTCGATTACTGAACAACAACACGCTTCTATTTAAGCTGGTGCGGTGGTTCAATTTCCGCGTCGAACACAACCGAGTTCAGCTTAATAGTGTCGACATTCGAGACACAGAGGCTTCACTTGACAGCAAGAGCACAAGTGCAAAGTGGCAGCTCGCCACGAGCCAATTCCAGACTGTAGTGACCGATTTGTTCAAGACGTTGGAGATGCTCTTTAGCGATGCGTTGCTGTACTCGGAGCCGGACCAGACCTCCATCTTCATGCAGATGAAAGAGGTCTTCCGCTTGGCAGACAAGGACTGTAGCGGCGAGATCGACGCGGCCGAAGTGGCAGACATGCTGGAGACCATCTTCGCCCAGTCTGGCGCGGTCAAGCAAGGCGAGATCCACAAATACGTCGAGGAATTCATGCGTGTGGTGGACAAGGATAACAGCGGCTTGGTGTCGTTCGAAGAGCTCGTCGAGGCGCTGGAGAACGGCCTCAAGCTCGAGGTGGAGGTGTACACGCGACGTAAACCCAAGGCCTCGGCTCTGGTAGCCAGGCGGAAGCATGTCCTGGCAGCTATCAATGAGAACGAGGACGATGCGCGAGATGCGAGCGAGATTGATGAGCCGATCTGCGTCAAGCGTGGACTCTGGCGACAAGATTCAGTCCAAACTTTCACCTTCGGATGCAAAGGTCAACAATTCTCGAGCCGCGATGCCGTCACGTGAGAGTAATGACAACTCCTCCCCCAGTCTTCAAGGAGCAAGAGAGTCTCGTCGGCTGCGTCATCGGCTCCTGCCATGTGTCGCGAGCACGACGTTCTGAATGTGGAGGAATTCTCCAGTAGCGACATCGCGGCGCAGATGAAGACTGCGTACGTGGAATGGCTGCTGGAAGAACGTCGCTACGAGAAGGTGTCGATGGAGGAGCTTTTACTACTCAAATGTCTCGTCTGTGGGGCGGAGGGTATTGCCAAGAATCTCACAGAGATGGCAGAGATCGTCGTAGTCTCTTAACGACAAAATTCGCATAGATATTTTAAAAACAATACATTTTTCTTTCGATGAGGCCACAAAAGTCACTG